GAACGTGTCTCTACCATCGATAAAAAAATCAGCTCATTTGCTTGAGCTATAAAGGAGATATTCATTTTTTTTTTGAGTTAAGTGACTTTTGCACCCCCCTGTATATTGAAACAACGAAAGATAAATACAAGCTGCTTGCACTCCACGTTTCCTTCTCAGAAATCGATTTTTTTGTTGAGATCCAGATGAATTTTCAAATAAAAATTTTCTTTTTGTGACTTGTGCCAGAAGAATTAATTTTAAGAAATGCAGATTTCAATTTCCCAAGACGTTTTATGTTCTTTATTAAAATAATAAAGCACTCATCAGGGGTCTGCATTTGATGTTAGATCATATGATATAGAAAAAACAAAGATAATGTTAAAATGCATATAAAACACATACACGACCAAAAAAAAACAAATACAAATACAAAGGAAAATAAGAAAAGGAAGACAAGAAAAAAAGATAAAAAAGCACATGAAAGGATACCATTTAATTTTTCTATAAAACAACGAATAAAGAAAAAATAGATAATTTTAAAGAAAAACGGTCGTCATCGGAATTATCTACAGTTATATATTACTGAAACTTTTGCGTAAATTTCATTGAAATAAATCTATTTAATATCTTTTAATAGTTTTGCAATACAATTTTTCATTATAACTGTTATATTCTTACGCTTGAAATAAACAAGTTTTATTATATTTGGGAATTCATTGATATACTAAATTTAATTTATAATCATTATTATCAGTTGATTTGTTTTTAAATATTCTATGACTGTGTTTTATTGCATATCAATTGTTGTTATAAGTTTGTAACATTACGAGTACCTAGAACCGGTTTTATTTCATTTATTGGAAATTCCATAAAATAGTTGTTCGAAGGTAGGAGTGTCAATTACCGTTTAATTTATGATAAATATAAATTGTGAAAAATTTACATTTATTATAGATGTAAATTTATGTTTTGATAAGAAGTTTGAATTGATATTTGACATTATTTAATTCTCTTCTTTTTATTCTATTTTATTTTTAATTAATAATTAATTTATTCAAATTCAATTTTATTTAACTGTAAAAACTGTGAGGGTTCGTACCTCGATGAGATATTTCATCAGACATGAAAAATTAAGACAAATGTACATGAGAACAAATAGACTTTTTCTTTTCTCTATTCTTAGTCATACTTTTGATAGTGATACGAAAAACATGACAGTAATAGTAATAGCTAGATAGAGATCAAATCCTTTTTTGTATCACTATGAGCATCTTGTTTTCGTTAAATTGTATTTCTTTTGTATTCGGTATAATTTTCTCGGCGTGAGTGTATTTTTCTTTGAATTTGTTGTTTCGTTTTGTATAATAATGGTGTCCACACCTTGTTAATTTCATCATGCGTGTTTATCCATTTACTTATTATTGAATATATTGCTTCTTTCGTACGTTTTTTCCAATAATCTTTTTCTTCTTCAATAAGAAACACATTATTTATATCAAACACACATTGAAATTTCTTTTCTGAGAAATGTTTAACCATTTCTGAATTAATATTATCTTTATTATCATTTTTTGTTTTTGAATGCTGTTTCATACGACTATCAATAGCAACTTTTGTTTGTCCAACATAAGTTTGTTTACCATGAGCACAGAATTTGGTAGACGACAGATTTTGATGGAACTTTTAATGACGAATTAAATTGTGATTGTAATTTATGTGAGTATGAAAAATATAATTTAATTTTTACCACTTCAGGTCTTCTTTTTAATATATCCATACGAGGAACATATGGTAATGTTAAACAGCAAACCATTTCTTCATTCTTATTATTTTTATTTTGTCTAGATATGTTGTTATTTTCATCGTTGTGATTGATTTTATTTGATTAAAATTCTTCGCATGTTTGTTTAATTAATTTTTCAATTTCAGTAGAAGCGTTTGTCTATAAAATTTATTATTAATTCCAAAATAACTCTTTTTCAATGCTAAATTTATTAGGTCTTTAATATCAGTTTTAGTTAATGCTACCGTTTCTAATTTCTTTGATTGCTACAGTCTTTTTAATATGATACCTATTGATTTACTAAGTGGTATGTTTGTATATAAATCTTGGATATCAAGACTTAGTCATATTGATCTAATTTAATATTTGAAATGTTTTTGACAAATTTTGATGTATTACATACCACACCATTTAATGTTTGTCTTAGTTCTATAATTATTTTGAATAAAAATTGTGATAATGATGATGCTATAGTATCTCTTGAACAAGTAACAATTCTCATTGGATTATCGTCTTTTGTATAACTTTGGTTGACCATGTATTTTAGGTAGATCATCAATTGATGTTAAAGAGTATTTATTTTTTTCTGGTATTTTGTTTTGATTTACCAGTTTGGTCACCTTTTTATTTATTTCTGTTTTGATTGTTGTTGTTGAATCTTTTTTCACTTGTTCATATATATATTTGAATTGTTTAATTTTTCTTCAATCTTATTAATATAATCTCTTTTATCCATTACCACTACTTTTCCACCTCTGTCAGCTTGAACGATAACAATATCTTCAATTGATCTTATTTCTTTCAATAATTTTATTTCTTCTTTATTCATATTTAATTTCTTTGATTTTCTCCATTTTTAAATAAATATTGATACTTCTGATATAGCTGCATCTTTTATCAATTCTGACGTTGACTGTAATACTGTTTCACAATTTGCAATAGTTGTAACTGTATTAATTGTTGTTGGTGTTGGAACGAATTTTAGACCTTTTGATAATATTTTTAATTGGCCTTGATTTAATCGAACCTTTGAAATATTGACAACATTTGATGTATCACATGTTACTTTTGTAGTTGGTGTCATTAATTGTTTTTGAATTTGTTTTTCTTGTACCTTCTTTATTTTCTTATTATGATTTTTTTATCAAACTATTTTCAAAGTTTCCATCAAGTTTTTTATCCATTTTAGGTAATCTCGATGTTGTCTTGTTGGTTGAGATATTTTTAAATAGTGATTTAATATTGAATTTTGAGCGTTAATTTCAATATTAATATATTTTAATTGTCTTTGCTTATGTTGTAAAGTGTTGTTCCTGATTTTGTACGTAGTTAGTCTTACAAGGGAAGGTTCCGAGGTGATGACCCGAGATTGAGGCTGATATTGCGTGGGTTAGCTACACTAAGTGTCTATATCTCAACTATGAAACAATTATCGGCTGAGGCTGATTCACTAAAAAGTTTTAGTTAAAATACCTTTTCAGTGTTTGTGTCATATACATCGGTATATACTTTTTCGAAGTATCATATTCGTTTGTAGAAATGCTGTCTGATGATAGATATAGCAAAGATGTGTATATAGTGAGGTTCTTTTCTATTAGTATTATAGTATGACAGCACTCCACATGCGTATGAACGATAGATCTTTCAGTCCGATAAGTGAAAGCATTAGTGTTAATGTTTATGATCGTCAACAAAAAAGTGATTGAAACACAACACACGATCACAATAACTACAAGAAATAAAAGAAGAGTCACTACACGTAGACAAAGAACAAAAATCTTCATCGAAAGAAAAGCACACATCCTTCACATTCTCGAAAGTCCCAGGATCTTTCGATAAATAACCTGTAGAAAACCAAGCATATTTAATCATTGACAAAAATTTAGTTGCTGAAAATTGGTTGTGTATCAACGAATGCATTTTTAAGATATTATTTCGAGAAGTAATATCAACGTCTATGCGGTCTATGGCTATGCGATCACATATCTTGTGTGTAAGATATTTCCATTGGCGGAAAAAATAACGATCTAAAGGTTGAATGTCGCCATTTGTTTTTGGCGGTATTTGCATTCGTTCACATGTGATATCTTCGGTGAAGATGTCATCATATATATTCGGATCTGTTTGACCAGACCAAGAGTCGAATAACAACAAGCAGTTTTTCGAAATCGAAGGATATAGCACCTTTTCAGCCCAGTAACGAATGTGTTTTGGTTAATTTTCCGGACTTGCTACAAGTAACGTGAATATTATTTGCCTGATAAAGTGACTGTTTTACACGTGGTCCTAGTTTTCCCGCAGACTCTTGAAGACATATAAAAACCGGACCAATCAAGTTTCCAGCCATACTAACTATAGGCATGATTGTGTGCGAGTGAGTTACAGCATTCATTGACTTTATCTGACCCAATGTTGCTTTGCACCAGTTATTGATAAGGTTCTTTTTGATGGATTTTCGTAACTAAAATTCAAGAAATATTATTTTTCGTATCCGTCAGATTCTGTTCGATTCCTGTGCTCTATAACAAATTGTGTTAAGTTAAGCGTAATTTCGCTCCGATAAATTATATTGTGATACAGCGAGAATTTCATTCTATTCAAAAATAGGTATACTACAGTTATAACGACAACTATTCAAAATTAAATCGAAACATCTAATAGGGTAACCTGAAGTAAATAATGGCTCCTAAGTATTGTGAGGACAAAGACACAAATCAGAAATACATTTTTCGATATACAACTAATACTCATCAATGAAAAGACTATTTTTCGTCAAAGTTAAGACAACTTACTTAAAACTACTTTGATCGGTATTCAGTATATGATCTTCAGTATACTTGGGAATCATTTCATTCACTGTTTTCACAAAATTTTCAGCAGATTTTAATATTTCGTTACGATCTTCTAAATGATGTTTTGTCATCAATTTGGTTATTTTTCTAGATGAAATATGATGGCGATGTTTGAAATTTAATATCCAGTGGTGAGAGGCTGTAAAACTATTCAGATTTATCTCACGTGCTTTTTTAATTGCTAATCGTTTAATATCAAAATCATGCATTGGTATATAAGATTCCCTAGCATGTACAAGTTCTGCATAAACAAATTCGTCAATACGTTGGAGCTTCTGAAATGTTGTACCATCATCTTTAACATATTTTCTTATCCGTTGTAGATGTTGTTTAGATTTTATTCTTTTATATCGACTACGTAATGAAGAAAAACTATGACTTTTTGCATACTCAACAACAGCACACATTGTATCATAGGAGTATTTTGTACCATCAATATCATAGAATATTGGATTCTTATTTTCTTCTTGATATTCTTCATCATCATCATCATAATATGCATTGATATCTAATGTTACAATATTATCGACTTGTAGTTCTGCTACATTTAATAACTGATCAAATAGTTGAAATAACTGATCTGCCAGCTCATGATCTTGTGATGATGGTTCAGTATGACTTGATAATGGATATTTACGACGTACAAGATTGTCGAACAAGTGTAGAATATTGTTAACGTTTATCATCTTATAGTGAGAACTAAAAAGTACTCAACAATTGACTACTTGTTATGGAAAAGAAGTATTGTCTTACCAGGTATACACGTACTTTTTGTTGTTTTATGTAAGAGCTATGTATAGGCAAACGCACAAAGAGCAAAGAATTCATTAATGCACTCGAGAGAATTAGAAAATGATCCGTACAAAGAAAGAAAAAAAAGATGATAAATAAATCTACTGAAAAATAGTAGAACAGAGAAAAGATGTGTACGTATGGAAGCACATCAATAGAACGGAAAAAATATAGGCTCAATACACATATGGAGTGCTGTCATACTATAATACTAATAGAAAAGAACCTCACTATATACACATCTTTGCTATATCTATCATCAGACAGCATTTCTACAAACGAATATG